AGGAATGTCGAAAAGAAATTGAAGAGATTTGGTACTGAATTGTCAAACATGTTTAAGTTTACAAAAAGCTAATACTAAAGAACCAATGATATCTAAAGAAATACCTAATGGCCCATGGGAAGTATTGGGAACAGACCTCTTTTACTTTCAAGGAAGGGATTATCTAATAGTTATAGATTATTTTAGCAAATATGTTGAAATTGGACATTTGGAAGATTTGTCGAGTGTAGCAGTGATAAAGCAATTGAAATCAATTTTTGCAAGACATGGTATTCCGAAATCTAGTATATTCGGATAATGGTCCACAATATAATTGCAGGAAATATAAAGATTTTGCAAGAAGATGGAATTTTGAAACCAGAACTTCAAGTCCAAAATACCCACAGTCTAATGGAATGGTTTGAAAGACATATTCAAACTGTCAAGCGAATGTTAGAAAAAGCTGTAGTTGACAACAAGGATCCATATTTAGTTTTACTGGAATATCGTAACTCTCCTATTTCAGATGAAATTAAGTCACCTTCAGAATTGATAGAGAAGTAAATGGATTGATGTCTATAAAACAGAATTTCGTTCAAGCTAAACAATATGAAGACCATAAATAACATTCACTAAAGAGACAAAACCTTACAAAAAAGTTATTATGATAGGAATGCAAGACCATTAAAACCACTGAAAACAGGAGATCATGTTTACATAAAAGAGAAAGGGAAAAAACTAAATGAAAGAGGGAAAATTATAGAAGAAGCAGAAAGACCACGTTCATATAGGATTATAAGAACAGATGGAAGAATTGTAGAAAGGAACAGAAGAGACCTTCTTAAAGGAACTAATCAGGAAGAGTTTACAATACAAAACAACTATGAGAATGAAGTTATAGATGAACCCGAGATACATGAAAATAGTAGGAGCACTACAAATTTAGATGTGCCTGTAAGTCCTTCAAAATCTAACAGAAGTGTTGTGTCACCAAATAGTGAAAGAGGTATAGTATCATCAAATTTTTCAAATGGACATAACTACGTCACTCGATCTGGTAGGACTGTTAAGAAAACCTTATTATTTAAAAGAATATGTTTAATTTTACTACTATTATTATTTTTTATAAAAAAGGGAGATGTTATATATGTAACTGTATCTATTATTATCTTTAATTGTAACTACTAGATGAGTAATGTAGAATAAACGATGTTTGTGTACATCTTGTAATCATCACTGAGCACGTACCTCAAATCTAACTCTCCCTTCTCAAACATTACCGTAAAGCTATATTGCAAGCGGTGCCAGGCACAACACAGTCATTTTAAGCATTAAATGCTTAAAATGACTGTGAAAGAATAAACACACAAACAAGCAAAAACTGTTAATCTACCGCACAAATTGTCAGTTCTAAGGTTCTAAATTAAAATATTAAAAAACATAGTGTGTCACTTGACTTTTCAGCAAAGGGCTGGATGTATAAATCAAAAGTACAATACAAGTATTCCTATTTAAGGCTATAACCAGTTTTGGATGGGACATTTTAACCTGTATCAAAACTCATTTACCCAACTGACAATACAATCTCATTCGAACAGCAGTTTTACGAGGCAGAACAAACGCAGCACCTGAAACTTGCCCAAAGTTCACTATCTAGGTGGTTAGGATTCTTCCTTTAAATTTATAGTATGCCTCTTGCCAATCATAATCTTTGGACATTAAAAAAGAGACAAATCTGTCTGAGTGAGTATGTAACAAAATGACACATAAAGGCAAGATGCCATAAAAACTTTTAACTGTTAGTTTAAACTCAAATGAAACAGCAAAGTAAATTGCACAAATTAGCAGAAATTGTTAACTGACAGCACAAGTTATCAAGAGTTATCAAGTTATCAAGTTACCAGTTATCAAGAGCAAACATATGAAATTATAGTGACAAATTTAATGAATAAATGCCTTGAAGGATGACTAGAAGTGATCGTGTGTCCCAACAAATTGCTTCCCATCTTATGTAATCATCGTATGTCACTCGACAACAAATGTCAGATCGGACCGTTGGCCTCACTGCCTTCAAACACGTGTGCGTTGGTCATCATCAGTGGGATTGGGTTGGGATTCATTGCCAAAGATCACATGCCTCCAGTTGGTCACACTCCAGCTGCCCAGTCAAAAATCCATAGACCTTCTAGATGTTGGTCAGTAGTGGACGTTTATGGACCGCACATACAGCCTTGACAAGTCATCTCCAAACGGTTTCCGGCTGATCTTTGGAATATGGTAACTGGTAGTTTGGCGACATTTTGGAGGCGATAAAGGTTACTACCTAGGACTTTGGTAATAATGTGAGAAGTACTCAGTTCCGATTACGCATTATTTTGTGTGAGGGAAATGAGAGATCATGAGATATGTCATGTGACATTAATGGACGAATTACAGTTCTTTAATCGGAAAAGGGGGGAAATTTGGAAAACTGTAGTACTATATTATTTTGTATTAAGCTTCATTGTGTGTTGTGTGAAATAGTGGAAGTGTGCGTGCCACGTAATGAAGATTCTGAAGATTAGGTAAGTTAGTATTTTTAATCATTTGAGGATATTATTTTTTATGCATTGTTCTAAATGTAAGGAGTAAATAAATTAATATGGTATTATTGGAAAATTGTTATTAGCAATGATTTAGTTTAAAGTAATTAGGATTGTAATCTAATTTTTATTAATTTAATGTATGTGCTTATTTATATTTTAAGTAGTTTTTTTTTTTAATTTTTAATTATTTTAATTTAATGATCGTGATTTTGTGAGTTATATGTTTGTAGTATTTTGGAATACGTTTGAGTAGAATACGTTGAGTATTTTCATGCATTTTCGTGAAATTTTCTAATTTATGAGAAAAAAGCAGTGTAAAATTTGGTATACGTTTTAGTTGAGTAAACGTGCATGGAAATAATTTAAATATTTGACACTAATAAGTATTTGTAATGTTTGCGGTATGAATTCGTTGGTGACGTTTATAATATAATAGATAATTTAGAGGTAAAAGTTTTTGGATATTTTATTTATTTTATACGTGGAAATGTTCATATTTGGAAAGGGTATATACTTTTTCGCGATCAGGTAATTTCATATATGTTCTTTTTACTGGTTTTAAAGATTCAGAAAATTGTCATGCATTTTCGTGAAATTTTTCTAATTTATGAGAAAAAAGCAGTGTACATGGATATAGTGAAGAGTGTGCGCAATGCCATTTTTGTGCAATTCTGGGATGTTTTTTTAAGTAAAAATAAGTCGACGTGTACATGGTTTAGTGATATTTTAATTAAATGATAGTTATTTTGTGAATTTTATGTTTGTAGGAATTTGGTATACGTTTCAGTTGAAGTAAACGTGCATGGAAATAATTTAAATATTTGACACTAAGTATTTGTAACCATTTGTAATGTTTGCGGTATGAATTCGTTGGTGACGTTTATAATATAATAGATAATTTAGAGGTAAAAGTTTTTGGATATTTTATTTATTTTATATGTGGAAATGTTCATATTTGGAAAGGGTATATACTTTTTCGCGATCAGGTAATTTCATATATGTTCTTTTTACCGGGTTTAAAGATTCACAAAATTGTCATGCATTTTCGTGAAATTTTTCTAATTTATGAGAAAAAAGCAGTGTACATGGATATAGTGAAGAGTGTGCGCAATGCCATTTTTGTGCAATTCTGGGATGTTTTTTTTAAGTAAAAATAAGTCGACGTGTACATGGTTTAGTGATATTTTAATTAAATGATAGTTATTTTGTGAATTTTATGTTTGTAGGAATTTGGTATACGTTTCAGTTGAAGTAAACGTGCATGGAAATAATTTAAATATTTGACACTAAGTATTTGTAACCATTTGTAATGTTGCGGTATAAATTCGTTGGTGACGTTTATAATATAATAGATAATTTAGAGGTAAAAGTTTTTGGATATTTTATTTATTTTATACGTGGAAATGTTCATCCTTGGAAAGGGTATATACTTTTTCGCGATCAGGTAATTTCATATATGTGCTTTTTACCGAGTTTAAAGATTCACAGAAATTTTTTTGCATTTTCGTGCAAATTTTTGTAATTTATGAGAAAATAGCAGTGTAGATGGATAAAGTTAAGAGTGTGTGCAATTCTGGGATGTTTTTTTAAGTAAAAATAAGTCGACGTGTAAATGGTTTATGTGTATGTGCTATTCTGAAAAACGCGCAAGGAGTTTGCGATTGTGCACTTTTTCCCAATTTTGCAGTTAATATTTGTCATGATTAAGCAGTTTTGTTACATAAAATTTCTAGCATAAGTGTAATTCGGCTAGTAGATTGTTGGAAAAAGTGTTCAGTAAATATAAAGAAAAGAATCATTGGCGGCGGAAAAAAAAATAGAGGGTTGCTGTAGCAGAGTTGGTCGCCGAAAAATTGCCAAGTTACCATAATCCAAAGAACAACCCGGTTTCCCTTGATACCACTGGATGCCTAGAAGGCGATAAGTTGTGTCGAATCTATGCTAGCCACATTGTTGCTGCAGAAGTGGAATTTGTTCTTCAATATCCAGAATATTCAATCCCTTAAATCAACAAATAGGACTCGCATTCGGATGAAACAAAAGTTGTCGTTAAATAATGAAATTTAGTGACAATAATGGATAAGCATGGCATAATGCATTGTTATGCTGTAAGGTGTATTTTAAAACCCTTTCCTTTCAATTCTTGCTTCCCACTTACAACTTCCTACCAGCATGAGTTTTTAGAAACACGTTAAATACAAATGAGTTAGAAGTAGTATTTAAAGGAAGTTCTACTTATTTCGATAGAGAGAGTGCTTAGGGGTCCTTAATGGCACGTGTTTGCTTTCAGGCTATTTCATTCTTGAATCTATTTTGCTGGGCCATATTATATGTGCCTGTTGATAATCATCAGCTAGTTTAAATCAAGGGCCAACTATATTAGATATTTGTGTCTAGCTAAGTCTGTTTTAGTTAGGTTAGTTTCTTATTTTCGGATCCTGATTTAAAAGCACAAGTGAAAGTTTTCCCTTAAGCCCGAGAAGGCACTATTTGTTATTTCTTTGTGAATAAAAGGGTATTTTAACCCTTCTCGAACCCACGTTGTAAGTACTTGAACTCAGCGATAAGGCGCTACTACTTAGTTCACTATGTTCATCGACATTTTATCATAGATAAAGTAGCGAGGAACATTATAATGAAAATCAAATTAATTCTTGTTAAATTCATTTAATTTTCATTGAAAAATATAACAATTATTTATCTGTTTTTCAAATGTATTTTGAAAAAAAAATTATTAAAATTTTGGACTTGTCTTTAATGAACAGCATGCAGTACAGTATTTTCAGAATTAGGGCATCTTGTCATCAAGAAAAGTGCAACTTATGTGAAAAAGCTGAGAAGGATGTCAGAGCTATCTAGGGTCACTAAATATGTTGCTTTAATGGCTAAAATTAGTGTTGGAAAAACTCCAAGCATTTTCAAGACAAAATCGGCCTGTTAACAGAGAAAGCAACATAAATGTGGTAAAAAGGGTCACTTTTAAGAAGGACTGTAAATCCCAGAAAAAATAATTACATGACAATCAAGCATGATGAAAAGTCCAACTATGGTGAAACTTTTATAAGGGAGGACACCTGTCCTCGGGCACAGCATCCAGAGGGCGCTAAATTCCTGTAACAAAATTTAGAATGAAATGTTTTCCATTCTTGGCATACAGACATTCTTGGAACAAAATCTGTATTTGTTTCTGGGCACTGAAAAGCCCAGCTATGGCTCTGCTATATGGGCTTAAATAATCTCTCTATTGATGGAATGCAAGATTCAAAGATTTCTTGTCATGTTATGGTCTAAAAGAGAGTAAGGTTTATCCATGTTTGTTTTGCATTATCAAACAACAACAAAAGTTACAACTAACACTATTTGCCGATGATGAGCTTGTTGCCAATACACATAAGTTTAAACCTTATGTGAATTGAAAATTATTTTAAGAGTTATAGAAGTTTACACATATTTGTTAAATTTCAAGAAAATGGTAACTATTTTAAAGCATACTTAATTTTACCCCACTATTTCACAAATTTATTTTAACTGCAATTATTAGACTAAAACCGTCTACTACATACTACTTTATTTGCTCCAAAATGTCTAATTTTCACCAATGTAAACACAAACAATCACTTTCTAAATTTATTCCTAAAGTTCTGAGAACATTTAAAAATTCTCAGGAAATTTACAAGAAATGCTGGAAAGGGGGAAAATGTATATTTGAGAAATGCTTATGTATCATATGAAATACAGGTCAATATAAATAATTAGATTATGTATCATCACATTATGATAAGTGACATCTGCATACATGTACATCAGGATGCATATTCAGATTTTCTCATAGTATCAACATACCTAGGATAAAACCAAATTTTGGAGAAATCTTTAGCTATATAACTGATATACAAGAATCTTCAGTGCAGACATGCTTATTTAACTGAGACTTTTGTACAAAGATCTTTTTACACACATTACATGGGTAAGAATTCTCTTCTGTGTGAAGCAGCTGATGACTCTTTAAATGAGCTTTCTGCTTAAATGATTTTTTGCATATATCACATAGATGAGGTTTCTCACCAGTGTGAACCGTCATATGACTCTTTAAATTACACTTTTGTACAAATGATTTCTTGCATATCTTGCACACATATGGCTTTTCTCCTGTATGTATAGCCATGTGATGTTTCAAACACCACTTGTCTGAAAATGCTTTGCTACATACTTCACATCTAAAAGGTTTCTCTCCTGTATGTATATGCATGTGATAATTTAAATTAGACATTTGGATGAATGATTTATTGCATACATCACATACATAAGGTTTCTCCCCGGTATGAAGTCGCATGTGAATTTTCAAACCAGACTTTTGAACAAAAGACTGGTTACATACTTCACATTTGTGAGGTTTCTCTCCTGAATGAGTGCGCATGTGACTCTTTAAATTCGCACTTTGTATAAATGATTTGTTGCACACATCACATGCATAAAGCTTATCTCCTGCATGCATGCGCACGTGATTCCGAAAGTACGATTTGTTTGCAAATGATTGGTTACATGTCTCGCATACATATGGTTTCTCTCCTGTATGCGTACGTGCGTGAATTTTTAATAAAAGTTTCGTAGCAAATGACTGGCTACATACATCACAGGCATGAGGTTTTTCTCCAGTATGAGAATGCATGTGAATTCTTAAGTAAGACCTCTGCATAAATGATTTCTTACATATATCACATGTGTGAGGTTTTTCTCCAGTATGAATGCGCATATGTCTGTTTAAGCCAGATTTTTCTGCAAATGCCTTATTACACACCTCGCATGCGTAAGGTCTTTCTCCAGTGTGAATGCGTATGTGATTCTTCAAATTAGTCATTGCAACAAATGACTTATTACATGCTTTACATACATAAGGCCTTTCCCCACTGTGAATACGCATGTGATTCTTTAAATTAGGCATGTTCACAAATGAAGTGTTACATATTTCACAAGCATAAGCCTTTATTCCTGCATGCACATGTATATGCCTTTTTAACTTCGACTTATTAATAAAACATTTGTTACATGTCATACACACATGTTTTTCATCACTCATCTCTTTGTTATGAATACGCTGATGTGTTGTTAAATGACATTTTAGGAAAAAGGCTCTATTACATACATCACATATATGAGGTTTCTCTTTTGCATGTATGTTCAGGTGTTTCTTTGAAGAAGACATATCTACAGACAAATTGATCACACTTTTCCTATCTCTCTAGCGTATATATCACCACACTGCAACACCGTAATTCAATGATGGAATACAGTCACACTTCACTAGTTTGATATTTAGCTATCGCACTCATAAAAATTGCATTGTAAACATCGTTTCCATTCCCTGACATAACTGAAAGATAACTAAAAGGACCATGTATTTTCAGCACATAGTTTACAAGAATTCTTAATTTGTTTTAATAACTTTATTTCCTGATATAAACTATTAAAATGTGCTCAAACAACTACACACTAAGCATAGAGTGAAAAAGTACTGTTTCCTTTTCTAGGAAAAAGAAATATCTTTTTAACCCTTATCCCCTTAAAGACTACTAAAAATTCAACAACCGAAAGCAAAACTTCAAATCCAAAACGAACAATTTGCGAAGACAAACGTCTTGATTGCACTTGCTAAATCTTTCTGCCCGAAGGACGAAAAATCAAGATTAGGTATGTTGATAGAAGAAGTCATATGGCCACTTCAAATAGACGCCACTTATATAAATCTCCATTACTCTGGGAGTTTGAACAATTATGTACAGTCCATGGAGTATAATGAAGGAGGTGAAACTGCCTAGTAGAAAAACGGTCCTAAAATGTCGCGTTCACTAGATGGCGCTGTTGTTCCATCTTAGTGGTTCCAAATGTAAACATTTATTGAGTAGCCAGGCGGCGAAGCTTACTACCGAATGAAAAAATTTTTATGTTTTTAATGTCATGGATTGCGTTATTATCAACGTTATAATATTCTGCTCACTAATGATTGTATTTTATTCCTCAAATTATAAAATTAATTTACAGCTTTCATGCTGTTAGGTACTTTTTATGAATAGGCTTGTAGTACTTTTTATGAAAGGCTTGTAGTATTCATAAAAAGTACTACTGAAGGCTTGTAGTACTTTTTATGAATGATTAATTTAATGATTATTTTTCAGTCCCTCCCCCTTAGAAAAATAATCATATTACTAGTAAAATACTTGCTGTATATATGTTAAATGTAATTAGAAGTTTCCTTCGCGTCTCTCATTTTGTAAAATGCTTAGATACACAGCTTGATATAAACCTGCGGCGAAATTTTAATGAAGCTTATAGAATTTTTTGCTTCAGTTAGTAAATTTTCTGTACTATCATAATAAGTTATTCTTTTTTATGAATTAGATGTCAGTTTGATTTTGATATTTTATCGTTTTCGTTTAAAAATTCCATATCTTTGTTATTTTGAGAAGTATGTTTCAAATTGATTTCAAAAGATTTTTAAATAGAATTCTGATTTGAATTCAGTTAAGTATTCTGAACGCTTGGTTATGCTGAACTATATTATTCATAATTAAATATAAAGAGTAAAAAATAGTGATTAATTCAATCTATCTTTAATTTTGTCCTGCTTGAACTAACTTCTAACCAATAAATGCAGTATTTTAACTAAAAATACAATGCAGATCTTTTTTATTTTAAAAGATTTGCATTATATTTTTTTTTCCAAAGGAGGAAAATTCTATCCCATTCAATAGCCTAAAAGAGAATTTCTTATGTTCAGACAAAATTTTATCACAGTTATAATGATATAATATTTTCTCGCTGTTAAGTTTCAAATTGGTACATGTAGCTTTTTTGAAAAAAATGTTTTTCATGTGTTATGTTTTACTGGAAAAGATCCCCTATTTTTTATTTTCATTTTGTTGAAACTGATCATTTACTAATAGAGTCTAATTACATTTGTTGCAAAACTACCAGTTTAATATCAGAATACCTAATGTATGCTTGCTGCGGTATTTAAAAAACATCATTAACTATATAAAAACGAAATCTGTTTTCTCTTGCAGTAATTATTTACTTTTTATTCTCAATTTAATAGCTCTTTTTCAACGATTAAAGACTCGTAGGAAAGAAACAAGTTCAATTAAATAACAAAAATTTAATAAAAATGTAACAGTAATTATAGAAATAATCCCGAAACAATCTTAGCAGTATTGTTTTTATTGTTACACACAGGGTGAGCTGTAGGAAGTGTGTGTAGTGTCAAGAGAATACTTCAGTAGTACAGCAGCTTACCCAAGGTAGGATCATGGTATTTGCCATGTCATGGTGAGCTGCCCAATACAAGGAAAAGAAGTGTCCTGGATACTTTTCAAAGATCGTTTATTTCAATTCTCGTCAGACTTGCTCCATGTTATTGCATGAAGTCCGCCACAGTAGAATCCCTCCTAGCGCCCTAAAATTTTGTATTTCTGTGCACTGAGCGTAGTTTCACAGCCTTCGTTAACAATTCAACATTTCTCATAGGTAAGTGAAAAACACAAGTCAAAATACTCCAGAAAGAAAGTGTAAGGGCTGTCTCTCAATTTGGAAAATAATGGCAAGCTGTCATCACTTTTTTTTTGGTACATAAATCTCCAGTAATAATACCATAATATAGTAGGGCTTATTCCGCTAACTGCAAAGAGGGCGAAGAATGCCAACCACGAAAAAACCAACTACGACATATTTGAAACAAGAAGAGTACACGCAGCAAAATCCAGAGAAGCGAAAAAACAATGAATACTAAGAGATTCACTAATTCCCACTATTATTAAGCTAGCACAGTTACACATTTCAACCAATGAAATATCAAGGATCAAACTTTTAATTTATGGACACTTAGCACGAAGCCTTTATCTCCACATCATCAAAGATTAAAAATTTATCATCATCAAAGAGGTTCAGCTAATAGGATAAAAACTTAACTAAGGGGTCCTCGAAATTGTGCGCAGCGGTAGGTCTCCAAATAACATATCCGAAACTTTAGTTTTTTCTTGTTGGTGCGGTGAGGGCTGTACGGAAGCATTTTTATCTTTGAAAACTTTGTTGACATTATTGTAAGTAAATTTACATAATACTATAACGATTAATACAGTGATAAATTATGATCTTAGTTTTTATCACGGGTGATAATAAAAACAAGAAAAGAAGCAACCGAAAAGCATTTCTGGAAACTAAAATGCAAGTGATAGAAGAATAGATTCTGGCAAGCGTCACTCCAAATTAGTGCTGCAGAATTTGGCAAACTTCAACAATAAGGACAATTCTTTTTATCGGCCTGCAACTACGTCAAGTTCTGCAACTAGAATTACCCGTTCTAGAAATAACATTAGAGGAAGTGGAAAACGACTGTCTATAGGATTGACGACGAAATTTGAAACGCAATATGCCATTAAGCCAATCTATCATAATGCCTTCTTGAAAAAAAAAAAAAAAAAAGGCAGAAAATTGGAAACACAGAATAGACTAATGATCTGCTGGCTTAGAATTTTTTTATTTGTTTTTATAATATATTCGTTTATATTGTTTTTATTTTTGTAAGAATAAATGGTTGGTTTTATTTTTATTAAAAAACATTATTAAATTTCCTACCTAATCCCTTCTATCCATCTTCCCCTCTCCATTTTTTAATGTTAAGGATAGCCCCGTCTAGCGCTGTTTTCGCATTACGCTCTACTTTGATGGAACATATCCCCCGCGTTAAGCGGGTCTAACTGTATATTGTAATAAATGTGCTGTAATAGTTTCAGCATGAGATTTTTGAGAGGTCATAAAAGAAGATTTTAGAAAAATGATCTAGAATACGAGATTCATGTCCACAATTCGTACAGGCCAACCAATATACACGGAAAAAAGTTTTGGATATTTAGGTATTCTGATGCTTAAATGAGCCTGTTTTAGGAGGAAGATTTGTATTTGTACGTAAATGATACGGAAGAACAATTCTTGTGTCATTATACATACCTTCTAAAGAATCTTTCAATAAGATTTCGTACATTTTCTGAACTCCAAGATGGGATGATGGGATATATGAGAATTCTCATTTTACGGATTTCAGTGCTAGTGGGCAACACTAATTCAGCATTATTTCATTTATTCAAAACAACATCAGAAGCTTATTGAATCATTTATACAAATTATGTACTTTTGCTGAATTAAGCAAGACAGGATTTTTTAAAATGTGGTAATTTCTGATACCATGGATCAGAATTTGCTGGCAAGATTGCTGATTCATTTGGATCTAAGTGAATTTGGTTTCAAACAAGCATTGCAATCTAATGATATAGTATAACAATTCGCATTTGCATAACATTAGCCCATTAATTAAAGGTACATAAAATTATTAATTCACTATTGCATCTTTAGTACATATTAACACATCATGTTTGGATTAAAAACAAACAAACAGCAAGACAAACATATACCTGCTGAAAATTAAAATTGGACGAGTTAGCACAATTATTAGACATGGGAACAAAATACCATTATTAATCAAAACAATGAGAAAGCAAGAAATATTATCTATAAAATATAAAATAATATCATTGCTTATAAAGTATTACAACACTGACCATGAATTAAAATGCAAGATCAATATTTTATTGGATCACAGTGCACGAGGAAATTACAGATGGATA